CATAGAGAGAGAAGCATGCATCTCTATCTTACCAAACAAATGAAAGTTACAGATCTGCTACTGGTTGGGACATACCACACGCAGATTTGCTCAACAGATCTGGGTGTTTAGAGAGTTCCAAACACCACAGTAGCAAAAAATGGAGATGGGTTACGGTCGAGAGACAATAGCAAAAAAAACGTGTATTCCAGAGGTAGAGAGATTGATACACGAAGGTAAGTCATTCGACTGTGGAGGGTATTTTTTATTTTTCAAATGTAATCCTACTTCACAATTCTGAATCCCACACAGCAGGAGGGTTTGTCCAATAATGGCCTGCAGAGGGGATTATACCCTTCAAAACATGCGGCCGAGGAAATGTAAAGCAACGAAAATCCCATCCTCAAAAACTTATCCAAACCAAGGATAAGTGGACCCATTCACTATTTTAATCCAATCCCAGCTGCAATCCCCCCCCCCAAAAAAAAAAAATTCTTTAATCCAAACACCACCTAAGAGATAAAGAAAGTAACAAAATTGAGAAAGCTACTATAATATAATTATGTTTTACGTTTTTTGTAATCATGGATCAAAGTCGCGGTATCAGACCTCGACTCAACCGCCACTGAGACACATCGGTCACGGCGCAGTATCAACCAATATGCTCAAAAAGCTATATAGAAGGCTTAATTTTTTGAAAAAATTAAGAAAAATTGTAAGAAATGTAAATATCATCATCCATGCATCATATCCCCAAAATACATTATTTAACACATTAATCATTACAGAAAAGAATAATAAGGCGCTACCAAAAAACATGTCATCATTTATGTGCAATGTGCAATGTGCAATGGAAACACACGCAAAACCATTTGGGCAGTGTGCAATATTTTGCTCTTAATTTGGACAAGCATTTGGGACCATTGGGAACAAAAAATAAACCAAAAAAATAAAATATCTCAATTTTTTGAGTCTTTTTATCGTTTGACGAAGAGAAAGAAAAAAAAGGGGTTATGGGTGAAACTAATATAATATAACTTTTTTGTCAACTAAAGCAAAAAAAAAAAAAACGAAAAAAACATACCCAAGTATAAAATAAAGTGAGACTCAGATCTCACCTCTCACTCAATCGCTCTTACTCAGGCGACAATGAACGAAACTAGAAAGAGAGGCAAAATGAGAGAGTGAGAGACTGAGAGAGGGAGACTTTGGGTGGGCTGGACTGGATCTGGTTTGCTGTATGTACAGGATCTAGAGGTTTTTATGCAAATCTTTTCAATTGTTGTTTTAGGATTTGTTGATTTCTTCTATTTTGGTTTCTGCATCTCTTTTTGGCTAATTTTTTTACATTGATCTATTGATGACTCGGTCTAACTCAAACAATCCGACTCTGATTTCAACCGATATCTCCGAGTCATGACCGAGTCAATGCCGATTCGCTTGAGTCTCGTGTTATTTGCGTACCTTGTAGCGGGGTATCAGATTGATGGATGAGGCGGATACGACTCGGCTGAGTCGTATCCGACTTCGCCGATACTTCGAACCTTGATTGTACTATGTATACCACACAAAGGGTATACTCGCCTTTTGTTTCTTTGTTTAGTAACTATAAATACAAGATTAAGAGAAAGATTGGTATAGGATATGAAGTTAGTGGTATCTATTATCTTGACCTTGATATATCTCCTCGAACCTTTCAGAACTCATCATCTCCCTTTCAGTGGCTTTGTCGGCTTGGTCATCCTTCGCTTCAGAATCTAAAGCACCAAGTTCCTAGTCTCAATCATTTGTCGTCTTTGTCTTGTGAAGCTTGTCAACTTAGTAAGCATCACCGTATTTCCTTTCAATCTAGAGTCAATAACCAGGTATCGAGTCCATTTGCTTTGGTTCAATCTGATGTATAGGGCCCAATAAAAAATATTTCATCCGATAAATTTTCTTATTTTGTGTCATTTGTAGATGATTATTCTCGTGTGACTTCATTATTTCTTATGAAAGCCCGTTTTGAATTATGTTCTATATTTGAGACCTTTCGTCAAGAAGTACAAAGACAATATGATTGTTGCATTCGTATTCTCCATCCTAATAATACTAGAGAATATGAATCTGATCCTTTATTCTCTTATCTTCTTAAAATTGGCATTATTCATCAAACCTCTTGTGACTATACCTCTCTACAAAATGATGCTGCTGAACGAAAGAATCGACATCTGTTGAAAGTTACCCATGCATTATTATTTCAAATGAATGTACCTCATATTTTTTGGAGTGATGTTGTTAGTCTGTCACCTTATTAACCGCATGTCGTCTTCTGTGTTAAATGAATAAAGTCCATATTCCATCCTTTTACCTCATATCCCCTTATTTGCCTAAACTCCTAAAATTTTGAGTGTGTTAGTTATGTTCATAACTTAGGGCCTGGGTTTAATAAACTTCACCCTCGTGCTACCAAGTGTGTCTTCCTTGGATACTCTCGCACACTAAAGGGGTATCGATGTCACCTTTAATAAAGAAGTTCCGTATTTTTTTGGATCCTAAGCAGCCTTTGAATCTTGACTTTGGACAGTCTACACCATAACCTCCTCCCTTACCGTCACCTACTCCTCTGTCTATTGTATTTCCATCCCCAGCTCCGTTCCGTGTATACTTTTGTCGTGCGCGGTCATCAGCTGAAGTGCCCTTACCAGCTTCCTTGCCGTCTCCTAATCTGAGTTCCTCAGGTATTCTGACTCCTTACCAATTACTATTAAGAAAGGTACTCGATCATGTGTTGCTAATCATCCCATTGATAATTTTGTTTCTTATGATGTCTTATCTCCTATCTGTTCCTGCTTCACCTCGCATCGATCTACTATTTCTATTCCTAAGACTCTACCGGACGCCTTGTCTAACTGATTCAGGCTAGAGAAAAGCTATGAAAATTGAAATGGATGTCTTACATCAGAATGAGACTTGGGATCTTGTTCCCTTACCGCCTAAAAAACAGACGGTTGGTTATCAATGAGTGTACACTGTTAAGTTTAATCCAGATGATTCTGTTGAGCGTCTGAAAACTCGTCTTGTTGCTAAGGGTTTCACTCAGACCTATGGTGTTGATTATACGGAGACATTTTCTCCTGTTGCCAAAATCTCCTTTGTATGTGTTTTAATTTCTTTGGCTGCTAACTTTGATTAGCCCCTAATTCAGTTAGATGTCAAGAACGCATTTTTGCATGATAACTTTGCTGAGGAGGTCTATATGAAGCAATCACCTGAGTTTACTGCTCAGGGAGAATATTTTAGGAGTGTGTCGACTGAAGAAATTTTTATATAATTTGAAGCAATCACCAACAACATAGTTTGGTAAATTTTCAGATGCAATATTAGAGTTTGATTTTCTTCGATGTCAGACAGAACATTATGTTTTTCACAGACAAACAGATGTAGGGTACACTCTATTGGTGGTTTATGTTGATAATATTGTAATCACAGATAATGACTTTGAGGGTATTACTCAGTTCAGAGTATTTCTGCATGACAAATTTTATACGAAGGATCTGAAAAAACTTAAATACTTCTTGGATATTAAAGTTGTCAGATCTAAACAGGGTATCTATCTATATCAAAGGAAATATGTACTTGACATGTTAAAAGAGACAGGTTTACTGGGTGGTAGACCAATTGATGTTCCTTTGAATCTAAGGCAAAAGTTGTTGATGAATGGTAGTGCTCTATTTGATAATCCAGGTTGATATCGCAGATTAGTTGGAAAGCTTAATTATCTCACTATTACCCGACCAGATATTGCATATGCAGTCAGTACGGTAAGTCAGTTTATAGGATGTCCTAGAGTACCACATTGGATGTAGTCATTCATATTCTTCAATATCTCAAAAGTGCTTCTGGTCTTGAATTGTTATATCGAGATAATGTACATCTTCGAGGGGAAGGTTTTTCGGATACTGATTGGACTGGTTCTCCATCTGATCGGCGATCAACTACTGATTATTGCAACTTCTTAGGAGATAATGTTGTTTCATGGAAAAGTAAAAAACAAACAGTGGTAGCACAATCCAGTGCTGAGACTGAGTATAAAGCAATGACACATACAATTAGTGAGTTGACATAGTTATTACACTTTATTCGGGAAATTAGTTTTTCAGTTCAGCTACCGTTACAACTGTTTTGTGATAATCAGACAACCATTCACATTACTGTCAATCCAGTGTTTCATGAGAGGACTAAACATATTGAACTTGACTGCCATTTTATTTGAGACAAGATACTAAGTGGAGACATTACAACTCCATTTGTGAGATCTGAGGCTCAACTCAACTTGCAGACATGTTCACCAAAGCATTAAGTCGTACTCGTCTAGCGAATATTTGTTTTAAACTTGGATTATATGATATCTATTGTCCAGCTTGATAAGGAGTGTTGAGAAAGTTACTATAATATAATTAGAGTTTACGTTTGTTGTAATATGTATACCACACAAAGGATATACTTGTATTTTGCTTCTTTGTTCAGTAACTATAAATACAAGATTAATAGTGAGAGGTACAGTAAACCAAACCTCTCTTTGGCTCTCTCACATTGTATTAAGCTTCTCTATAAACTTAACATTAACTAAAGTGAGGTATTTTGTAAGTATAAACATTATTCAAATCACTAAAGCTCATACTGTTTTCTACAAATAAATCCCTTGAACAGCTTCCTACCTCAAGCACAAGACCTTAGTCATCTTTCACAACAGGGAACAATGTGATAGTTAGCAAATACCATTCAAAGTAGCTCTATTACCCTATAATGTAGCCTTCAACATCTAGAAGCCTAGCTATTAAAGTTTTCAAATTCCATTCTTTTCACAAAGTAAGAACAAAAAAATGTAACATAGAAAAAGTAACTGGTAGGAAATATTAAAGGTCAAGACAATGACACTGATAAAAATTACAAGTGTACAAATGCAGAATGGGGAATACAGATCACCATGAAATATGTAACTTAAAATTTAGGTATTTAAGGAAGCATGGAAAACAAACCTCTGCCAGCCCTTCTGGAGAACGATGTCGAACATGGCGATGATGCCTTGATCCAAATAAATCCAATCGAGAGTGTGGCATTCCGAAGGCAGGGTCGGGATCAAGAAAAGAGAAGTCTTCAGGGGTCACCATTCTCCTTGTTGCATATGAAGGACGCTGCCAACACAAGTAAAGAGTTATTGAATATGCATTAAATTCTATATGAGTAACCATACTACTCAATTAAGGATGAATGAAAAAGTAAAAAGTTCCATAATCACTTCAAATAAAGAGGCAATGCAAGATCC